ACGCTGTGGTTTTCCTCTTCCAGCTACCTTGTCCGTCAGGAGCTCTGGCTGGTGATGGAGCACATGGACGGAGGCTCTTTGACGGATGTTATTAGCGAGACCTGGATGGCCGTGGGACAGATAGCAGCTGTCTGTCGGGAGGTAAGGGATCCCACTTATGGTGCTTCTGATGGCTTGCAATGGATTGTCCTGGTAAGGAGGCAGTGTGAACAGGAGGGATTTCATCTTCAGAGCTTTGTTCCTGTGTTTGCTTGAGCAAACTGCCTGCCAGTGTCCTGGCACTTCCTATACTCTGCTCTTGTGATCCTCTTATCTACCGTGGTTTTACTGTCTCGCTCTGTCTTTCTTTAAATTTATTTACTCTTCCCCACTTGGCCTCTCTCAGCATTGGCCTGGAGCCTGTCTCTATTGCATTGCTTGCCTGTAAAAGCAAAGGTGCTGGTGGCAGAAGTTGGGAGGAATGGCAAAAGAAAAATCCAGACTCATTTTTGCCACTCCTCAGCTTCAAAGCACAGCACTGCCCCCAAGACGGTGTTTTCTTCTCCAGACTGACTAATGGGCTACTTCCAAGGCTGCTGTCCAGGCCAGCAAGAAAATCTCCATCGTGCAGCCTCCCGGCCAAAAGCGACCAACTTCATGCCATTTGTTGGCAAAGCCTCCTTTGTCCTCTGGGGGGAGAGAGCACAAGCAGTGCAGCAGCAGTCATTCTGGCTGGCTTTGCAGGGCACTAGAGCAACAAGGGATGTTTCTGTTTCAAAGCTAATACGCCTTCCCTTAGAAAGACACTGCTCTCCTAGTGTTGGAGCAGCAAGCTCTTCCGCTTAACAGCACCATGCGCTGGCTTCGCTCACTATTCCCCTCAAAAGGGGGCAATCTTTTAGAGCAGTCTCCTTTCCTGTGGGATGAAATCAGATGGCCCACTTTTATCCTCTGGTTTTATTTCTCCCTTGCAGTGCCTGCAAGGACTGGCATTCCTTCATTCCAACTGGGTCATCCACAGAGACATTAAAAGCGACAACATTCTTCTGGGCCTGGACGGAGCGGTGAAGTTGGGTGGGTGTTCTTGGTTGGGCTCAGTGTTCTGGGCATGCAGTGTGGGGCTGCTGTGGAGTGACTGCCACTTCCCCAACAGCGCTGCTGAGTGGCTTTGGGGAGTGTGTGTCCCTTCCAGAGGCAGGCAGTTACAACAGAAACCTTCAGGGGAAGAAGTGAAAGGCACTGCTTGAAGCATGGGACTTTTGTTCTGTGCACAATGCCCTATTTCCTTGGTTGAAGCCTTTAGGAAACAGAGCACGGCCACTTTTGCAGACAGATACAGCACCTCCTTCTCAGACTTAGAGTGGGCCATTCTTTTCCTTGGTTTCTTAAGGGGAGCATGTTTGAACAGTGTTTGTCTTTCTCCTCAGCTGATTTTGGCCTCTGTGCTCAGGTCACCCCTGAGCACAGGAAACGGAGCTCCACGGTCGGGACTGTTTACTGGATGGCCCCTGAAGTTGTGAGAAGCCAACCCTACGGCCCCAAGGTGGACATCTGGTCTCTTGGCATCGTGGCAGTCGAGATGCTGGAAGGAGAGCCTCCTTACTTTAAGGAAAGCCCTTCCATGGTAAGGTGTAAATACC